ACCTAATTCGATCGAAGGTTTGTATCTCTTCTTTATTTCACGTTAAAACCTATTGTAATATTTGTAATAACTCAAGCTTACCGTTAGTATATATTGTTTTTTTTGGGTTTTTCTTTTCGGGCTTCCTCTCAAGGTTTTTAAAACGCGTGTACTAGGGAAGGTTTTCACACCTACATAAGAAATGTTTCATTCTCTTTTCCAATCGATATGGAATCTCACATCCACCTCTCTTGTGGGCATGTGTCTTCGCTAGCACACCGCACGGTATCTGGCTCTGATACCATTTGTAACCCAAGCTGACCGCTAGAAGATATTGTCTGTTTTGACTCGTTACGTATTGTTGTTAGCCTCACAGTTTTAAGACACGTTTACGAGAGATGTTTCCACACCCATATGAGGAATGATTCGTTTCTTTCTCCAACCGATATGCTCATTAAACCTCCGTAATATCAACAACTTAACAAGTCAAGTCTTATATCGGTCATATAGAACACCTACACGTAGAAAAAAAAAGACTATAAACTTTGAAACTATATGAGAAATTACCGTAAAATCAACTATTACACATCAACTAGTGAATCAAATACAAAAAAATAATATATGGGAAAGCCAACTGAAAGATTCAATTTGACTTCGTAGAGCTGGCCAGCAGTCGCTCAACTGTTCGAGCGTTTTTCTTTCTCCTATTATTAAAATGGGGTAGTTAGTTTCGATTCAACAAGGATAGAATACCTGATCGAAGGTCTAGTACAGTTAGGTAGCATGTATTTTTGTTTAGGCTTCCGAGCAAGAACGAGAAATAGACGAGAATAATCTTATGTTTGTAATTAATTAATAGATAAGTTTGATGGTTATGATATGTGTGTCCAGCCAAACAGGGTGCCTACAACTCAGCAAAGCAAAGCTTGTTATCTTAAAAGACAACAAATTTGATAACATTAATGTATACAGCTATGTGGTGGTGTTCTGTTGGGTCAATCCCATGTTGTATATTAAATACACGAGCGATGATGATGAGAGGTATTGATCNATATATATATATATATATATATATATAATTATACTACATCAGCTGAATTGAAAAAATATTTTGAACAACTTGAGGGGTGGTGACCCCGAGCACCTTCAAAAAAAAGTTCCCAACCCAATGCAACCCTTTGTTCTCAGGTTGGGTTGGGTTGAGTTGAACTGTGAGAATCTTTTTTTATTATTATTTATTTATCTACCGTACATGTGACATTAATATCTAAAATATCAAATATTCACCGATCACATCCTAGTAGTTGTTATATAGGCCAAATATTTTTAATCTTTATAATAATTTTAAAAATAGTAGTGGGTTGGATTGTAATAGGTTGGTCTGATTGACTTAACTAATAAAATGTCAACTAGTGAATTGGTCCGAAAGTTTCGATTTTTCGAAAATTCAACCTAACTCAAACTAGAAAAAATCTAACTCAACCAAACTTTTATGGGTTGGATCCCGTAATTTGGGTTAGTTAGATTTTCTAGTCTTGAGTTATTGCGTAGCAATATAATTTGGGATCATTTGTTGGAAGCTAAACTCAACAATGGTTACCTTGATATTTCTGATACGACACGATTACTTACTTACTTGGTTCTCATTCACGTGTTTTCTAGGAAAATTTTCAGACGATCACTTAACATAGAATTACTCGAAGCCAAACACGATTAATTTTGGAGTTCATAGAGCCACCGAACAAAAAGATACACTTTATAAGTATAAATACTATTTTCAAAATCACTCTAATTCAGATGTGATCTCGGTTCATTAATGTATTTTTACTTATTGATAGACATCTATCCCTAATAGATTTGTGACTTTTAGAACTTTTTTATTAGGATTAGGTCGAGAAAAATCGAAACTTTCACACGTTTTTGTATAGTTTAGTATTAATTACGAAGTGGGTTAGTGAGGAGACAACTAGAATCTGATCAATTTGTAAAATAGTAATGAAAAAGAAGAAGAAGAACATGAATTAATGAGGCTTAAACGTGATTAAGATTGAGATTTGGATCCAAAAACACAAATTTCAGCAATGTTCATGGAGTGTCTCCTGCCCACCCACGTCTCCAACTAATAACCCTAACATTAATTTAGTATTAAAACCCTTTCTTAAAGACATCAATATCGATGTTTGGTGTTTCCATTTTGTCTTGTTCTTATCAAATCGAAGTCTGAGATTTTGAGCAGCTGAAGCTGAGCTGTGAGTGTACAGACAAGATTGTTGCTTTCCACAACCACACGTGTGTTGCAACATCATATGTCAACTGGTCATTGTTTTTGTTTTTGTGTAAAGATTTTCTCTCCCTCTCTCTCGATTAATGACTCGAACCGCTCGTTAAACAAACTTATAACATCAACTAAACTGTTAGAGGTTTGAGTTTTTATGCTCATGCGTTATTAAGCCGTTGACTTCTTTCAACTTTCGTAAGTATAACCTAATTCGATCGAAGGTTTGTATCTCTTCTTTATTTCACGTTAAAACCTATTGTAATATTTGTAATAACTCAAGCTTACCGTTAGTATATATTGTTTTTTTTGGGTTTTTCTTTTCGGGCTTCCTCTCAAGGTTTTTAAAACGCGTGTACTAGGGAAGGTTTTCACACCTACATAAGAAATGTTTCATTCTCTTTTCCAATCGATATGGAATCTCACATCCACCTCTCTTGTGGGCATGTGTCTTCGCTAGCACACCGCACGGTATCTGGCTCTGATACCATTTGTAACCCAAGCTGACCGCTAGAAGATATTGTCTGTTTTGACTCGTTACGTATTGTTGTTAGCCTCACAGTTTTAAGACACGTTTACGAGAGATGTTTCCACACCCATATGAGGAATGATTCGTTTCTTTCTCCAACCGATATGCTCATTAAACCTCCGTAATATCAACAACTTAACAAGTCAAGTCTTATATCGGTCATATAGAACACCTACACGTAGAAAAAAAAAGACTATAAACTTTGAAACTATATGAGAAATTACCGTAAAATCAACTATTACACATCAACTAGTGAATCAAATACAAAAAAATAATATATGGGAAAGCCAACTGAAAGATTCAATTTGACTTCGTAGAGCTGGCCAGCAGTCGCTCAACTGTTCGAGCGTTTTTCTTTCTCCTATTATTAAAATGGGGTAGTTAGTTTCGATTCAACAAGGATAGAATACCTGATCGAAGGTCTAGTACAGTTAGGTAGCATGTATTTTTGTTTAGGCTTCCGAGCAAGAACGAGAAATAGACGAGAATAATCTTATGTTTGTAATTAATTAATAGATAAGTTTGATGGTTATGATATGTGTGTCCAGCCAAACAGGGTGCCTACAACTCAGCAAAGCAAAGCTTGTTATCTTAAAAGACAACAAATTTGATAACATTAATGTATACAGCTATGTGGTGGTGTTCTGTTGGGTCAATCCCATGTTGTATATTAAATACACGAGCGATGATGATGAGAGGTATTGATCTTGAGGCCTCAGACCAAGATACAAACAAATCCCATAATAAATTATAGTAAATTAAGTCATTAAAAATGTGTTATTTGTGGTGCAAGTGATGAACTTATGTGCATTAATTAAGGCATGTGGATCTATGAGTACCATTCACACTAGACAAGGCATGTGATTAGAGTACAACATGAAGTGTGACCTTAGTACTAAGTGAAGAGGTCATTAATTCTCTATTAAGAATAACCCTTGGTCGATTTTTTGGTCACTGGTCTTAAGATATGTTTAAATGGAGCATGGAGCGATTAAATTAATAAGAAACGACTGTTCGACAATGTACTTTCACAACCGACGCATACACGATTGAAAATGTCCACCCTTATGTCCAACACAACTGTGTATTATTTGCCCAACGCGTTGGAAGTACTCATTCGCCCAACGCATCGATATAGGGTTGGTATAGGTGTAGAGATGTTTACAGGGTGGGGTGGGAACAGGGAGCCTTCCCCATCCCCGTGACCTATTTTGTTCCCCGTCCCCACGAAATTTTCCATATATATTACTTATTATTATTTTTTTTAATGGGCTGGTTTGATTGAGTTGATCGAATTTTTTTTTCCCTCTACTCAAAAATCGAACCGAATTGAATTGATTCAATTAAAAAAAAAAAACCCAACTCAATCGCTATAATTCAGGTAAGGTTAGTTGGATGGGTTTATATTTGTAAGTGAAACTCATGAGTCAACCTTTTGACTCTACTACGTTTCGTTGTTAAAGAAACTCGTAAGATATTAAATTCTAGATAGACAGTTACAATTATTACTAGAACTCATTTGATCTTAAGAGTTGGATGTGGTCGAGATTGAAGATGCAAGTTCTCCCAATCGTACCATCCCCTAACCTAATTAATATGATCTTTTACTTTTTAACGGTCCAAGCTCACCGCTAGTAAATATTGTCCTCTTTGGTCCGTTACGTATCGCTGTCAATCTCACGATTTTAAAACATGTCTACTAGAGAGATGTTTCCACACTCTTATAAGAAAATACTTGCTCTCCTCTCCAATCAATATGGATCTCACAATCCACCCCCTTGGAGGCGAGCGTCCTTACTGACACACCACCCAGTGTTTGACTCTGATACCATTTGTAACAACTCAAGCCCACCACTAGCAGATATTGGTGCTTTGACCCATTACGTATCGCCGTCAATTTCATGGTTTTAGGTTTTAAAACGCAATAGATTTTCACATCCTTATAAGGAATGTTTCGTTTCCCTCTCCAACTAATATGAGATCTCACAATTTAACCCCTTGGAGGCCAAGGTCCTCGCTGGCACACCACCCAGTACCATTTGTAACAACCGAAGCCCACCCTAACATACATTATCCATTTTAGCTCGTTACGTTTTGCCATCAACCTCACGATTTTAAAACGTGTTTACTAGAGAGATGTTTTCACACTCTTATAAGAAATGCTTCGTTCTCCTTTCCAATTAATATGGAATCTAGCAAATCCGAGAAGAAGGTAAATGTTTGAATACTATTCCTTTGTTTGATTGAGATCAGAAAGTTTGGGACTTATCTACACTGTCATGTTTCAAAAGGGGCTTTAGCAGACTAACTAGAAGGTCATATTCATAGACATGGTTTAAATTGGTTGAATTTACAAGCTCCCTTCAATTCACATGAACAATCAAGCTATAAGTAGCAGCCTCAGCAACACTATACAAATTGTGGTAGCCTCAGGCAACAAACAACAGCAATATGCTCATCGCGTTCGTAATCGTCGATTACCGACCGCCTCATTGGCTCCTCTCTTCCAACGTAGCTGCTTCGTTCAACATGTCGACAGCGTCCTCCTGCATATCCAGCTTTGCAAGAGCAACTGATTGCATGTAGAACGCTGTTGGCCAGTCTGGGTGTACGCATTGTGCTTGCATCGCATCACGAAGTGCAGCGTCGGGTTGATCGCATAACAAATAGCATAGGCTTCGTCGGGCAAACACGGTTGGGGAGACCATAGTTCCTACGTTTATGAACTGCAAAAACAGAATGATAAAGCCACAAAACTAATGTCACCACGAGTTGTTCGGGTCTAAGTGAAAGATTATCGTCGTTCAAAAGAAAGCTCGAAAAAGATGCAAACTACCTGTGAATAGCAATCAATGGCACCTTTAAAGTTCTTGTCCCGGAAGGCGAAATCGCCGCGCTTTCTTGCCTCTAGCATATCTCTGATCTGTTGTGTCCATTCTTGAAAAGATAGCTGAAATAATTGAATGATATGGAACTTATAAAACCTTCCTGCTTGTTCAACCAAGTCGTTTTTATCTTATAAAGGAAAGTCGAATAAATCGATGTAAACCTCATTAGTTACTTCGTCGTCTCTGTAGTGTGCCATTACCAAGATTTGATGAATTGCTGTGAGATCCATCCTCGAACAGGCCTCGCCCATCGGCGATAAAGGTCGTTGTGGGGTTATTGGGGCCACTGGAGCCGCTGGGGTCGTTGGGGCCATTGGGGCATCCTCGTACTTCTTTATTCCAAGCATGACATGAGAAGGAACCTACAAACGTGCACGTAGATTGAGCCTACTACATTTGGAATGCAAGGTAACTCGTGGGAATCGAGTCCTAGTTAGCTGGACCATGACTCGAACCTATTGTCTCCAAGGTTTTAAAACGTGAGAACACTCAAAAGGGAGCAAGCAGAGCTACCTACATCTGGTTTTGTTTGCAAGGGAGCAAGAGTCGAAACAAGATCCTCTGTGTTCGGCCTGTCTCTTGGTTCGTATTGTAAACATTGAGAAGCGAGATTAACGACCACAGTTGCGTCCTCTGTAGAAAATTTTCCTTCCAAATGCGAATCCATTAAGAGAATGATGTTCTTTCCTTGGATCATATCGAGAGCCTGCATTCGCAAATGAACGTATCAAATGAACAACAATTTAATTTTTCAAACATCTAGGCTTTTACATGGCTCCGGAACATGTTAACGTTGTTTCTGATGTTTTTAACACAGAATTCCTAGATACCTAGTGTCATGGTCATGCTTATTCAAGACGTGTTGCTCGTGGCCGTCAACCCATTCCAAATCTTTTACCCTGCTTTCACTGTATCTATTTCAATCTAGCACGTTGGCGTTTGACTCCTAGCCACTTTTGATGTCTACACTTATCCAAGAGAATTTGTCTCGTAATGTACTATAGAGGGATATGACTAGTTGACATATCTTCCTACTTGGGTTTTCTCTAACCAACTCCATTTTCGAAAACCATTTTCCAAAAACGGTGATAGAGGCTATGAACAGGACATTTGTGCCACTGGGAATCCATATTTGAGTTGGCTGACTTACTTAAGAGTGAGAGTTAGTGTCGCACAATCCCTCTGAGTCCTAAAGAAGTACGATTACGACTATTGGTCAAGGCAATAGTAACCTCCCTTTCACATCAACAAAGGTTCGGATCGTAATGCTCGTAAAATAAACAGTTGCATCGTGTAGTGAAGGAATGAATTCATAATCTAGGAGACGAGACGTGAGTCACGACTCTCTCTCTCCTCGTAATAACATCATCAAACATTCGCTTTCTAACACGAGAACAATTCAAGCATACAATGTTATAAAATTAGGTACTTACATGACTTGGAGGGATGTGCTTGCCACTTAGAAGATCCAAAAGAACAGTACCAAAGCTATAAATAACACTTTCAGGGGTTACCCTTCCTACAATAAATAGACCAAAGTGAAGAACAACACTTCAAACATGGAAATGAAGAGCTTTATTGTTGACACACACAAAAAGAGCTAGATTTCCAACGTCAACCAAAAGATGAACATCAAAGTACCATTTTTCAAGTACTCGGGTGGCGTGTAGGCCAGATTTGTACTGTAACTCTTACCGTCCCTGCTGTTTTTCATCAATCCAAAACACGAAAGACGTGGATCGCCGCCCTATAAGAGCGTAATCAGATGAAGATAAACTTTATATCAAAAACTACAAAAAGATACCAATTAGTGAAGACGATACCTCGTCGAAAAGAACTCTATACGCATTCAAGTCGTGGTATAACGCACGGCCTTTCGTGGTGCAATACTCCAAGGCTTCAGCTATATAGAAAGCTACTCTTAACCGCATGGCCCACTCAATGGTTTGATTCTCCCCTGTGGGAAAAAGTTAAGAAAATAGCAAGCTCATTCAATCCTACATAGTCACATGCACAATTCAACCATAAGCACCAACTGCCACTTAAACAATGATCTCATTCACTAAAAAAATTCACTCAAAATGTGTGAGATCCCACGTCGTTTAGAGAGGGAAACGAAGCATTGTTTATAAGGGTGTGAAAATCTCTTCCTAGCAGACGCGTTTTGAAAACCTTGAGGGGAAGCTCAAAAGAAAAAGCTCGAAGAGGACAATATCTTCGAGCGGTGGGCTTGGGCTTGGGCAGTTACAAATGGTATCAAAGTTAGACACCAGGCAGTGTGCCACGAGGACGTTGGGCCCAGAAGGGGGTGGATTTGTGAGATCCCACATTGATTGGAGAGAGGAACAAGTGTCAGCAAGAATGTTGGGCTCCGAAGGGGTGGATTGTGAGATCCCACATCTGTTTGAGAGAGAAACAAACCATTCTTTATAAGGGTGTTGAAATCTCTTCCTAGCAAACGCGTTTCAAAAACCTTGAAGGGAAAGCCCAAAGAGGACTATATCTGCCAGCGGTGAGTTTGGGCAATTACAAATGGTATCAGAGCTAGACACCAAGCGATGTGCCAGCGAAGGCACTGAGCCCAAAACGGAGGTGGACACGAGGCAGTATGCCAACTAGGACGCTGGGCACCGAAGAGGGGTGGATTTGTGTGAACTCACATCGATTGGAGAGAAGAACAAGTGCCAGCAAGAACGCAAGGCGCCGGAGGAGGGGGGTGGATTGTGAGATCCCACATCAATTGGAGAGGAACGAATGCCAGCGAGGACGTTGGGCCCTAAAGAGGGGGTGGATTGTGAGATCCCACATCGATTAGAAAGGGGAGTGAGGGCTAGTGAGAACGTTGGGCCACAAAGGGGGTGGATTGTGAGATCCCACATCGGTTGGAAAGAGAACAAAGCATCCTTCATAAGAGTGTAGAAACCTCTCACTAGCATACGCATTTCAAAAACCTTGAGGGGAAACCCAAAAGAGAAAGCGCAAAAATGTGATAGCCTTACGAGGTCAATGTAGTTACACTTAGGACAACGAACTTCCCTATATCTCTACAATGATACGATATACTCCACTTCAAGCCTAAACCAACTAAACTTTGCTCTCGGTTTCACCTCGTGCCTACAAAACCATTTCCACTTCTAGCCAGCACAAGGATCATATCCAAATCCCCAATAGTTTCATTCATCTAGAGCTACTAACAAGTTCCCTCCCATGTCCCCCAGAAACGAACACAACCAGGAGACAGAGTATACAAGAACTACAGGGGGGGTATCAGCTCCAACACAACTACATGCTAAATATGAGCTTCAACACTTCACAGCAAACCAAATAAAGCAAGAAAAACATAACATACAGTGGAATAAATGCTTAGCAAGAGTATCATTGGGCATGTACTCAGCAACAAGCAGCCTCTCATCACCATCGCAGCAGTACCCTATCAAGTTAGCAAACCTTGGATGCCGTAGCTTCCCAACTCCCGAGGCCTCTTCCTAAAAATTCCACAAACCCATTTCACAAAATCAGCAAAAACACAAACAAAACACCAAAACACACCCAAATTCTTCACAGAAGTACCAAAAAAGTACCACAAATTGCTTGGCATCCGGCCATGCCACCTTCGTGAACTTCTTCACAGCGATCCACTTCTGGTTCTGCAAGCGGCCCTTATACACAATGTTCGGAGCCTTCTCGCCGCTCTCAGAGACTATGAAGTTCGGGCTGAAATTGTCGGTAGCCGCCGTAAGGTCCGATAAGGAGAATTCCGAGAAACTGGAAACCGTGTCCATAGGCGCCGTCGGTTCGGGTACAACAGCAGGTGGCGGCGGCGGCTCCACCGCGGCATTCGGCGGCACAGTCTGCAAGGTTTGAAGCTTCTCCGGGTGGGTTTCTGTGAGAAAGGTGGATTCACAGCACCCCATAACAATTTTTGCTCAGAACCCTTTTGAAAACTCTGTTCGAGAAGGAGGAAAAGTGAAACAGAGAGGAAATTGGACAATGGAAAAAAAGGGGAAAGAGGAGAATATTAGATAGCTGGGGAATCAACCTTTTAAGCTCTAAAAAGAAAAAAGAAATACAATCTGTGTAATAAATAGAAGATTAGTTCTCACGGTTCATTCAATCGAAGAAACTGTTCATAAATATCAGCTGGATTCGATTTGCTTAATTCACTGGTCAATCCCAAAGTGACAGTTTCCTTTTTAGAATTTTTAAATCCACAATCCAATGCATTATCTACCACAATGGCTACTTGCAAATCCCCAACAACATATAAAAATCATCATATTTTTATAAGATTAATACTAAAATGACGTTTGTGGTGTCGGAGTAAAAGAGAAGTACATAAATTAATCGATACCATATTTAAATGAGAGCGATCACGAGAATCGGATTGTAAAAAATGCATAAATGAAAAGAAATGAAATGAAAATTACTGTCTATACTGATAAGGTACATCTTCATTACTACCTATACAAAACACCTGTGTAGAAACTTTTCCCTAAAGAATTTAGGGAAAGCTTGAAAGGGGAAGTATAAAGAGGACAATATCTACTGACAGTGAACATGAGTCATTACAAATGGTATCAAAGCTAGACATTAGGCGATGTGTCAGCTAGGAGGCTGTTCCCCGAAGGGGGATAGACACGAGGAGGTATGCCAATAAGAATGTTGGGCTCCGAAGGGGGTGGATTTGGTGGGGGAGTCGCACATCGATTGGAGAAATGAACGAGTGTTATCTAGGACGCTGGGCCCTAAAGGAGGTGGATTTTGATGTCCCACATTGGTGGGAGAAGAACGAAACACTTTTATAGAAGGGTGTGAAAATCTTTCCGTAGTAGACATGTTTTAAAGTGAAGGCCGAAAGGGAAAGCCCAAAGAGTCGTTACAAATATGTGAGTAAGGACAAAACATGTTGGAATGTTATGTTGGGTAAATTGATGTAAAATTTTTTAAGATACATCTGAACCAGGACAAGACGGTCTCATTTTAATATTTTTATTTTTAATATATTTAATTTCAATTGGATGCCATTAATGGAAATTTCAAAGAAAAATACGGTTGATTAGACAGGAGGAAAAGCCTCAAAGCTTAAGAAATGTTCACACTTACCATTATAATGATATGGAATAACAAATAAATAAATAAAAATTGGAAATTAAAAAAATAATAAATAATATAAAATAAAGTTAAGAATCAAATTTAGAAAGAGAAAAAAAAAAAAAAGCTATACCTATTTTATAGAATAATTGTCTTATTTATTTTGGATGTTTATTATATAATTTTAATTTTTAATTGTTTTTGGTGTTATTTAATTTATGAAGATCAAATTCTTTTATTTATTTAATATATTTTTTTTTTTTTTAATTTTGAAACACCATCATTTCATAATTGATTTTAAAATGTGATATAATGATTGTTTTCAAATTCTACCTAATATTTATATTATTTTATTTTATACTATTTTTATTTTTATTTTTTTAATTACAAGACATTAATTTTCAAAGTAATTGATTATTTTGTTAATAATATTTTTTTTAGCTTTTAAATAATCTCCTTTTTTTTGTATTATATTTAAAAGTTAGGGGGAAAAGACACTTGAATTTTTTTATTATTATTCTCCTCCATTAATCACTTTTATATTAAATACTTGAAAATATTACGGCGGGAGAAGACGTTTTTGAGTTAAATTGGGTACGGGTGGAGAAATTTTTTGACCCAAATCGAAATATCCAGCTAGTTGGATTGGTGAATCAAATGATAGTGAATAAGGTTGACACCTTGATCCAACCCATTTGTCCTTGGATGGTTCATTTTTTAATTAATTTTTTAAAATATTATTTATTCACATGTCTAGTAGGGATTTGGTTGGTTGATTTTATGGGACAAAAGAAGCTTTAAACCTTGAACCGAATTGAATTTTTTATTTTTTAAAAAACTAGACTCGACCCAAACCGAAAAGAATCAAACCCAACATAACTCTTGGTCTGGGCTGAGTAGTCTCAGTTGTCATATGTGTTGGATGATGAAAGTCCTACATCAATTGGAGAAAGTAACGAGTGCCAGCGAGGACGTTGGGCCCTGAAGAGGGCGGATTGTGAGATCCCACGTCAGTTGGGGAGGAGAACAAAACTCCCTTCATAAGGGTGTGTAAACCTTTCCCTACCAAATGCGTTCCTCTCAAGGGAAAGCCCAAAGAGGACAATATTTGCTAGTGATGGACTTGAACCGTTACACTTGACTTCGACGTTAGGAGGCGACCCAGTTCTGTCCCAGGGAAGATTTTGGATTCTTTCAACACTTTTTGGTTATTCCATGAACGCATGCCTGGTATGACTTTTGCTAGCGTCACTCCAGAAGGTAGATCGAGTCAGCGTACGGGACTCGAAGAGTTAGCTGCACAGCTTTCCTTGAATGAACACCGGGATCCAGTTCCAACTCCTGCTTCCAACTCTTCTATAGAAGCAATGCTTACAATCAAGATTGGCCAAATGCACCTTGCAACCAACTCTCATTGTCCAATCTGTAAAGAAAAATTTGAGCTGGGATCTGAAGCCAAAGTGATGCCATGAGAGCTTATGCTCAAAGTGGACAATATCATACCATTGTGGAGAGTCGTGTTCGTCTAACATGGTATCAGAGCCATGCCCTAAACTTAGCCGTGCCAATAGATTGGCAAATCCTCGAATGTCGAACAAAGGACTCCAAAAAGGAGTCAAGCCTCCTTGAAGGTACGAAGGCAGTCAAAAATGACTAAGACTCCAAAGGAGACAAGCCTCGATTAGGGGGAGGCGTGCTTTGTTCGAGGGGAGGTGTTGGATGATGAAAGTCCCACATCGGTTAATTTAGGGAATGATCATAGGTTTATAATCTAAGAATACACTCTCCATTGGTGTGAGGCCTTTTGGGAAGCCCAAAGCAAAGTCATGAGAGCTTATACTCAAAGTGGACAATATCACTTCCCAAAAGCAAAGCCATGAGAGCTTATACTCAAAGTGGACAATATCATACCATTGTGGAGAGTCTTGGTCAGTTTTCTTTTAGCAAAACGCTCGTGATTACAGATTAAGATATTAGACATTTTAAATTTATTTTCTTTATAAAAACTCATAATAAAAAGAAAATTAAAAGAAGAATCCAAAATTAGAGGAATTGAGATTATTATTTTAATATTCAAGCACGTGGGGAATATGAGTGTAGTCATATTAGACAAAACCATCACATTATTAATCAAAATCAATTTTTAAATCATTATTATGATTAAAAAAAGGTGAAAAATAGTCGGACCTAACCGATTTCAAAATATTACATTTTTACCCCTAAACGGGTCCTTATATTTCGAGACTTTACATTGTTCTTCATCTTCAGAACAAAATCAAAATATTTTCATTTCATTTCATCTTAAATTTTGTGTAAAAGAACAAGACGACGTTATAGTTCAATCCTAGCTCTGCAATGAGCTCGGATTTCACTCGAATCCTTCATTGTTTATCGTCTGCAAGAACTTGTTCAATCCACAAATGGCAGCACAGTAGATCAGCCCGGTCTCGACCAGTAGCCATGGCTTTCTTAACCCCCATACCGATAAACTGAATGGTTCAGTAAAGTTTGATCGGGAGACGTCTCGGGTTAAGTTTCTATGCATTGTGAGTTGGAGGGAGTTGCTTCAGAATGTAACAGCAACTTCCATTACGTTGGTCCCGAGTAATATGGTCAGGTTCGAGTCGGTATAAACTAGGGGAAGGGATTATCGACTAACTCTTCAACGTTGTCGAACCGATCAACCTCCTTCATGATCTTGTCTTGGCACTTTCTTCGGCGCTTCGTATCAAAAGCTCCTCATACGCTCTCATCGAGTCGGATGCAAACCTCTCAAGGGCCTCAAAAATGGATTGCAGACCTGCCTGCAAGTTGCCATTGCTAGTGCCATCGTCTTGCACGTTCCCAGTTACCCGAACCAGTTTCTTGTCTAAAGCCTGTATCTCTTTCTGCAACTTTTGATCGTCCCGGTCAATCTTTTTCACTTTCTTTTCGAGATCCTTGTTCGTTATCATCGTTTGACGCAGTTCTTGCTTATCATGATCCCATATTTGAAGCACGCTCTTAGCGAACACGTGCATCGAATCAACGACCTCTTTCTCGGAGAATCTGTCAAGACCTTGTGACCACTGGTTGCAGATAACAAAGATGGGTGGTGCACCAATCCGGCTAGGTGAGAAAGGAACAATTCCATCAGCTGTTTCTTCAGGCTCATACAGGAGACATTTAAGAAGCCAGTTATTCAAGAATCTCACAAAATTTTTCTGGGCGCTTATCCAACCCGAGAATCTTGCCGTCCAGCTAATAAGCTCGTGATCGAGCTGCAATGTCACTCGAAGATCGAGATCGCTAGGCTTCCCACCAGACCGAATAAGGCCTAAACCACGGGATTCTTTAACCGCTTGAAACTGAGCGTGATGGCATTCCAGCATACCTTTCCACATCCTCGTTAACCTGAAATCGATATACATTCCACGTTTAACGGCCAAGAAGACAATGTCGAGCAAACGAAACAGGGAGGAACAAACCAAACACATACCCTTGAATCAGTTCATTCACTTGAGGCCAGAGTTCTTCATCTCTGATCTTACTTATCGTCTCAGAAATCTTGTCAACGACCTGAATTGCAACGTTTAAGCTCGTCGACAAGGTCTTTATGGATGTTTGAGTGGCCTCCACTTTCGTGGCTTCGGCACCTCTCTCGTGTAAACGTTTGAGCTGACGACGCTTCTGCTCGTGGGTCAAACGCATCTTTTCCTCCCTCTAGAGAAATGTATAAACATAATTTCTTCAGTTACAATGGTAAGAGAACGACAGACCCTGCAAAACTATCGTTGCCCTAATGAACTCGGGCCACACTAATGAACGAATTCTAGATACGACATACGAACTGTAAAACTACTGGCTATATACGTCAACGGAAGCATGTCTTTGTAGGACGAAGATAAATCGATAAAGTAAAAATGTTATATGCAGGTGGAAGTGGCAATAGGACATCAATAAACTTCCTTAAAAGAAC